AGCTGGTTCTCTTATGCAACGTTATGCAAAAATAACGCTTCCGTGCTTATAATTTAAGTATTTACACTAATTCTTACTTATTTTTGTATAGTCTGAAGAATGTAAATGTATTGCTGACCTCACTGTAACAAAGAAATTATGTAACGAATTATTAACATTGATTCGACAAATGTATTATGCAGAGAGAAGTATGCTTATCATCGGACTGATAGATGTGATAAGTTCGATGAAACAAAATTTAGTGAAATTTATTGTACTTGCCGAAAATGTAACGCATTTGATGGAACCATTGGATTTTCTCACACGTTTGACAAAATTAGCAGAGACAAAAGAAATACCTTATATTTATATATGTAAGAAGGAGCAACTTGGTCAAGCATGTTGTATACCTACCGGTATAAGTGTTATTGCAATCAAGATTGGAACTTCTTATTTCTCTGAGAAACTTAAAGATATCGAAGATACAATAATGAGCATGATGCCAAGAAAATCATTAACTTTGTAACGTTAGTCCATATTTTTACAAATTAAAATCTTATACTTTATTATATATTATAAAACATAATAAAATATTCTTACATATTAATATAATAAATGTCACTCTCAGTTTATGAAAATATAATGGAACATTATAATCAAAGTCACTTTTGAAAATAAGGCAATACATTGAGCTTCCAATTACTGTGCCACTCATTACAATTCTGCTGAGATGTAAACATGTTCTCTTGAAACTTTTCACGTAATTGTTGTTGGATCTTGTTATTGGGGAAATCTTGAAACCACATCTTCAATTGTTCAGCCAGCTCCTTTTCGTCAGCGAATACCAAACTATTCTCATTATGCTTTACTAACTCTGACAAGCTAAATAAGACGCATTCTCTTAGTAAGCAGATCTACTCTATACAAGGTGTCTCAGAAATAAGGTAGGAGCCACATTGGAGGCGTAGAATGGGTCAAAGGGAACAAAAAAGTGTGATATCATTTTGATATTCGCTGTAGTTTTCGAACGCCGCCGCTGTCAAGCGAGGCGCGAGCTGCGCTACGAATGATTCACGCGACGCGGCTTCACCATACATTAGCTTATAAGTTTTCTTTTTTGATTCGAAAATTACAGCGAATATCTCAAAATAGTATTGGACTTTTTTGTTCCTCTTGACTTATTCTATGCCTCCAATGCGGCTCCTACTTTATTTCTGAAACATCCTGTATATAGTAATGTTACATTAATCGTATTATAATAATAGGAGGAGGGCTAGAGATTTTATAATAGGAAAAAGGAAAAGTTGATGAATTTGAAGAAAGTTTATACAAAAAGAGGAAGAGGGTATAGTATACTCGGAATTAATAATAAATAAGGGAAGGATGAGGATCGTATCGGTATATGAAGAGCAAGGAGGAAAAAAGAAAAGTTAGAAGGACAATACTAATACAATACCAATTAAAATTGTATGCGCAAACTGGTAAACGGCAGCCAAACATGTCGACGACTTTCATTGGTAAATCCAGTCCACTGGATGAGGTGTGAAGACACACACCTAAGTCTGCACTAGCTATTTTAAAGATAAAAAGTATTTGAAGTATTCTATAAAAATATTTTATAAATGATTATATTATATCAACTCTGCCTAAAATCACTATAATTAAAAAATTTTAAAAGATAAAAAAAGTTCACATATATTAAAATTTATACTGATACAGATGAAGTCAAAATATTATAGAAGTTTTTAATAAAATATTAATAAAAAAATAATTTTCATTTTTAATTAGCAACAATATGCAAAAATATGGACATGTTATACCTAATATTTTGGGGTATTCCTCATTCTTGAGCCATGGTGTCTTTATTTTAACATGTTTCCATTTTTTTAAATCAATGATTGCCATATAAAAATCCTTTAATGGTCCTTTACCTGTTATTACGCAAACCAAATCTGGCAAGTTTAACTTGCCATTTTCACATGCATTCTCATATTCTATAAAAAAATATTACAAATGTAATCCTTTTAAATTATCATAAGATTACTAAATCTATCCTTATTAGAATATATACCTTGTAATGCGTTTAGCAAAATTGAAAAATCTTCATCTTCAGTCCAACTAGTACTGGATACAATAAAACCTGATCTTTTGGGCGGTATATATATACCATATGTTTCTAATTCTTGCAAAAACTCATTCTTCTCTGTTAAAGTTATTGGATGAAATTTATCTGTTGGTCTATCATATAAAATCTTTGCTCTGTAATAAAAAAAGCTCATTAAGTAAACCATTTGTTATTAAAATGTAATATAAATGTAACAACTAACACTTACTGGATAGTCCATTTCTTTTCCAAATCTTCCTTCATTGCTTTGCTGACACAGAAATTATTCTTTGCTCTGCAACCAAACATTGACTCGATATTTTTTGATAATTTAACTAAGATATGATTTTCTCCTAAGCTCAATGCCATGATTGAATGGGCATAATTATGCCAATCAATGGTAAATTGTGCTTCAGTTAAAACACAATAAAACCAGCATATTGGAATGGTTGGTATTGCAGGTGGATTCTGTGTTATTACTGAATCTGATAGGCGTTTACGAAGTAACAACCATAAAAGATCAGCCGTTTGCCATATCACTTTTATTATGTAACAAAAAAAACGTGGTAATTCTGAAATAATAACAAGAGTGCAATTTTTATCGAAATCTATAAACAAATACAAAAATGTTGAGAGATCAAAATATAAATTATATAAAAAGGATCATGAGGAATCTGTAAAAAGATAATAATAATATCCAATTCGTACTATTTCGTAACTCAGGAGGCGGTCGCAGATAATGGATTTGTACGTGCGCATTTTCACTGATCTCCTTGATCGGTGATGAGCCGGGATAACCTACAACATCCACGGTAAAACCTTCTCGGGCGAAGGAAATCGCATGATATTGCATTCGCGGACTTCTGCCAATATCACCAAGTACCAGCACGCAAACATTATTGCCGGATTTGAATTTGTTCAGGTAGAATTTACGCACAATAAGAAGAATCAGCGGGAATAATAGGAATATCAGCATCAACATTTCGAACGGAACACGACAAAATAGCTGATTCGCGCGGAGAATCAATAAGAATCGTGAATGATCACATGGTGGATAATCAAAGGTTTAAAAATCAATGGGCGCGTTCACTGACGACACCGACGAGATATTAAAGACGGTCGGCGAAATTCGCGTGCCTGTTAAAATTTAAATCATTAAGGTCCGATTACATCAACGTTACTTTAATTTTAAGCGAGGCTTAAAACTTTTTGTTCCTGTTTTTTTTTTTTCAGTTTTAAAACGAGATAGAGTTTTAAGTCAAAGTAACCAGGGCTGTATTCTTGAAAAGAAACGTACGAAAGTCTAGGGAAATACTATATTATTGTAAATAACGTATACTGTAGCATTTCTCTAGACTTTTGTATATGTTTCTTTTCAAGAATAGGGGACTTTAGGAAATCGATTCTGTATCTTCAAACAAGGTGAAAATTACAAAAGTAAGCAAATTTACTAGGTGTTAACTAATGAAATTATCAGTATTCTTATAAATTCGCTCACTTTTTTAATTTTCACCTCATTTCAAGATACAGAATCAATCCCTGTATCTTCAAACAAGATGAAAATTACAAAAGCGAGCAAATTTACTAGATACTGACCAATGAAATAATCAGTATTCTAGTAAATTCGCTCACTTTTATAATTTTCACCTCATTTCAAGATACTGTAAACAATTGACGACAACAGACAAAAATATCAGGGCGCCCCTCGTCTCAGATTAGTATTGTATTTACTAATTTCTTATTCAAATCTGGAGGATCGATCTCGATTCCAAGCCTGTTCTCTTCTCTGAGTTAATAGACTTTCGCTCTGACACTGTTGGTATCTCTGTTGTGTGTATATTTAGTGAATTTCTTACAATACAGAATCGATTTTCAGACCTGAATAAGAAACTAGTAAATACAATACTAATTTCATGATTTATGTTTCGTAGACATGTACATACATATGTTTGAAACTTAATAATATTCAATTTTTATTAAAAACTGTGATTTTAATAGTATCATCCAAGTTTGATTGTCAATAGAGATGATAATTGCAGTGAAAAAATTCTAATTTGTCAACAATATATAAGATATTATAGCATTAAAAGTATGTGTACATATTTATTTATACAGTATTTATATAATAAAAAAAGTCACGAATTTAATAGTGTATTACCGAAACATTTATGTTAATAATTATAAATTTTTATTAATTGTCGGTAACGTCATCGTTCTTTAATTATCTCTGGGTCCTTCAGACCTCACTGATAGTCACGAAAATTTGTCCCTATTCTGTAACTGACTTTATACGCCTACCGACAATTGTTGATGTTGTTGCGCAGATATTTTATATAGTGAAAAAGCTGCGTAACGACAACTATCAGTATTATTATATAGTCAATATTATATTATATTAAACAAACTACGATAAAGTACAAATAATGATGTACCGGAGGTACATAAGGTGAACCATTTCCGCGGATGCGCAATGGGTTGAAAATAGTGAGGATATCTGTCAACCAATCAATTTTTTAGTTTATTTGCAGAAATTCAAACGCGCCAGTATGACAGATTTTCCAATCTCAATAGTCATCAACTTTAACGCTCAATATCTCGAATCACAGGATAAAGCGACACTTTTTTTGCTAGATTCTTTTGTTTCATGTAAAAAAACGCGTCGAATAAGCTTAATTTCATTGATTTTTATAAACTAAATTATCTTAAAATATTTACCTATCAGATACCAGTTACCTAGATTTCTTTACGAAGTTGAAATGTTAATATTTATTTCTATTTCTAATACAATATTTTCTACATTGTGCGCAGAGCCTAAGTTTTCGAACGCAATGGACAAAAGATAGTCCTCTATCGGAATAAATATAAACTATGGAATTTCAATGAGTTTTGGAACATAATGTTGATAAAAAGAGTTCTCGAAGCTCTTATTAAAAAGGCGGGAATCCGTGATCATGTCATGCAACATGCCATTGATGTCATCGTGTTACGCTTTGTGACCCAAAGACGAGCAAAATAAATATTTTATTCGAAATTGCAACGCGAAAGTAATTTTCACGAGTTTAATCGTTTATCATTAACGAAGAAGTCTTCGACAGAGTGCATACTTGATACGTTCGTCACTGATGTCCATTCCAGGTTATTTCGTTCTCAACATCCGTTAGTTTTTGATCATTGAAATGTTTCTATTGCTTTTCGAGAAATTTTGAGGAAATCGAAGAAGGGAAAATCGATGTACTACGTTCTTAAGGGATCGAGAGATTGCAAATAAAGTAGAAAAAGGATATTAATGTCAAAGTATGAAAGATATCAAGCAATATTTTGCCAATGGCAAGAATATCATTGATAAGGAGATTGATACTGATCTAAGCAATGTAAAAGAGGAGGATCAAGAACAAGAAGATATCGCGACAAATAAACACAAACGTATGAGGATCCGGATATCCAGCAATGGTTCTTCAAGCAGAATATACGACATCGAGAATAAGAACGATCTAATCGACAAAACGCCCAGTCCATTCAATGGTGAGATAAATAATGGTGAAAGAACTTTGCAAGATGGAACGCCAAAATCAGGTTTAACCGAATCAAGCATAAAACGTCATCTTAAGAAGGTATTTTTTATTTTAATAAGAATTACAGTTGATGTCACTATTGATAATCGCTATAGTTGAATTTTTCTTATTTTTAAGCGTTCAAAATCCACTGTGGAAATAAACCGAAATCAGTCTGAAGAAACAAGGAATATCTCGCAAGAACAAAAATTAAATAATCAGATTGTTATGAATTTAAACGGTTCTCTTAATGACAATATTAATTCTAAAGATGAAACTGAATCAAATATAGAATTTCATGATGAAATTGATTCTCAACGGAAAGAATCAAATGCTTTTCAGGTTCTGATGAGTCGCAGTAAACCAATACAATATAAATCACCACCACAGCAACCCATAGAAGACAGTGAGAATAAAGAGAAATCAAAAGAATTCAGATCTAAGTGCAAAGAGAAGCTCATAGCTTTGGCTGATAAAAAAGGATATTCAAGAAAAAAAATAGCTGAAATGGAAGAGGGTGAGAAAATAGAAAAGAATATTGAAAATCGTATAAGGTTCTTTAAGGGCGAGAATAAAAGCAACATACTTGAAAAGGATAACAGCTTTGAATTATCCATAAAAACTAACAAACAATCTGGAAACTTGCTAAATTATTTTAGGTAAGATCTAAATTTATATTTTTATCTGTATAATTTTATATAATATAATTTATATTGTTAAATTTCATTACTGATTTTTTTATCATATAGCAAGTCACCCTTGGGATTGACAAATAAGGATGAAAAATGTGTGTCTACTTTTACTGTAAAAGCAGATGTACATAGGACTGATAACTCTGATATTGAACCTATGAGGAAGCTGAAATCAAATGAGAAATATTTTAATAAGAAATGTCTGAAGTCAGAGTTAGATCTTTCTACAATGGATGATATTCATGTCATAGAGTCTGAAAATTTATTTTCTCTACAGCCAATCAAACAAGATAAGCAGAAACGAGAAAAACATATATATATATATATATATGATGTAAAACATAATTGAGTCTCCCAATATCTATTGGTTGATGGCAATGATTGTTTTTTCACACTTTGATCGCTGATTTTAATACTCTTTCAAACGAGTATCTAGCTTTAATAACATTTGTAAAATTAACATTTATAATTTTACTTGCAGATACCGATGACGAATTGTTTTCACCAAGAAGCAAATCAAAGTTTAGTGCTTCGAGTAAATCTGGAAAGTCCGTAAATATAGATAATGATGAAGTCTATATGAAGAATCAACATCTTAAAATGAAAGAGCGAAATAAGGAAAGAAAAGAATTAATTGTAAAAGATAGCAACATTTCAAACATTATTAAAGATGCTCGTAATGGAAATACTGATTTTAAAAAATCAAACAGAATTAATAAGAAAGAACAGAAGATTAATGAAATGAGTGAAACAGTTATAATAATTGATGATTCCGAATGCAATATCAGCAATGAGAATATTCTGAAAAGAAAACCGAATGAAAAACTGGCACCTTTATTCATTAAACGACATAAAATGGATCCAGCAGTCACAGCAGCAAAACGTTTATTCCTACAATCGGATATAATCGATGTAGAAAACACAAAAAATACAGACCATAAAGTAAATAATGGCATACCTGTATTACCATTTCCTGCTATCAGTCATATTACACAATTAGAAGATGAATCAGACTCGATCAGATCTGAAATAGAACACAAATTTTCAATGAAAATCGAGAAACAATATTTGCCTTCGATAGAGATTAGTAATTATAAATATATTACTAATTGTAGGGAAGCATCAAAAATGATTAAAACGATTAAAGAATCCATGAAAGAAAATGTGGAGCAAGTGTTATCAGAAATCGAGAAGCTTTATCCAGATGTTCGAAAAATGTGGGAGACTATATCAACAATTAAGGGGGATTTGAAAAAGAAATCGCCATCTCCAGAAGGTAGAAAAACGCGAGCGCATGAACGAAAGAGAATGTTAATAGAGAATGTTGAGTCCGAGGAAAAGCAATCGCACAATTGCGCATGGATGTACAAATATAAACCGATGAGCGCGCAAGAAATAGTTGGAAATGAAGAAGGTGCGAATAAGCTAAAAGATTGGTTGAGTGGCTGGAGAACATCTTTAACAAAGGAGAACGATGACAGTAGTGGTGATGAGTTTTATTCCTCAGATTGCAGTTCCTCGTTCAACATTGAAAATAATCAAATTGCTGTCTTATTAGGGCCACATGGTAGTGGAAAAAGCGCAAGCGTATATGCGATAGCAGAGGAACTTGGCTACAGGTTGGTAATCATGACTCAAAGAAAGTATTAGGTGTTGGAATTAATTCGTAGCGTTTTTAATGAAAGTACTTCCCATCACTTGTAAAACGCTACGAATTAATTCCAACACCTAATATATGCAAAATAATCTTTAAATTAATAAATTAAAACTAAAATAAATTCAAACACATTATTTCTTATTCAAAGTAAATTAAAGTCTCGCCTTTACACGTTAGCTTATTCAAAGTAAATTAAAGTTTTGCTTTTACAGCGTAATTGAAGTGAATGCATCTTCCAAACGGACTGGAAAGAGAATCTTAAAAGAATTAGAGGAAGCCACAAAGTCGCATAGAATTAAAAAAAGTAAACATAAATCTCTATTCGAACGAATTACAAATGAAGATGAAACCTCAAAGATATCGCAAAATTCGTTAATTTTTTTGGAAGATATTGATCTTGTTTTTGAAGAGGATGAAGGATTTGTTTCTGCCGCGTATCAATTAGCATCGAACACCAAACGACCAATTGTTATGACATGTAGGAATACGTGTCCTCATTTGAACAAAATGGCACCACAACAAAACAAAGTTTACTTTCATAAAGTGAGTGGTAACAGAGTGTCTACCTTACTGGAATTAATTGCGCTTGCAGAGACAGGTTACAGAATTCCGCCTAATTGTTTAAGGGTAAGTGATCTTTAAATTATGATATAAAATTTATTCTAAAGAAGTTTTTTTTATGAAAAGAAAAATTTGAAAATTATATGTAAAGATCATAATGTTTAAAATTCAACTATTCTATTGAAGTTGCACAAGTTATACAATCTTCTGTACTCTTTTATTATTGAATCAAGCAAATAAATTTATTTCATTGTTTAGAAATTACTGCAAGAAGGCGACTTAAGACAGGCATTGCTCCAGTTGCAATATTTACTATTGTCAGGTCTACCGATATTATCACAACAATCAATGATTGTAAAGTCGTTACTTTGGCAGGACGTGCAACGCTATTTATACAAACCTGCGATTAAGCTAAACAAGAGACACAAGACAAAGAAAACTACAAATACAAAAAACTCTAATGATACATACATATTGAACAATTTAGCGGAAGATTTGGACAGTTTATCTCTAATGTCGTCTTTAATTGATGTCGAAGATATGACATTAGACATGTCAGAGGAGAAAACGCAACCTAATTTATCCTTAGCTGAAAATCTGTCTTTCTATTCCGCCTTACACGATTTGAATGCGGATATAGCGGATTTTATAAACAGCCAAATACTGTATAAAAACTTTGATGCAAACAAGCATGTGCAAAATCAAAGTAACATTATTCTGAGGAAGCAATTAAAACAAGGAGTGGATTTAGCGCTATCGCATGTCACATCCACGTGTTTAGATCGACGAATCATGGCGTTAGATTATCTTCCGACTGCGCGAACGATATGCCGCGCAGAAGAATCTCGCTCGAGTACAAATTACAAAAGAGGCAATCGATTTTTCCATTATCTGCACAGTCTAAAAGTGCCGAGCGCATCAATGAAACCAAATATCTTAGCCGCAGCATGTAGAATGTTACAAGAGGGAGGGAATAAAACTGCATCGATACAAAAAAACATCACTGTTGACTAATACTCAAGAGAAACCTATATATATTTTTATACACAACGGTTTTACTGAATTTTAACATTGCTATAAATTGCAATCAATTTATCGATATTTTAGAGTTTTGATATGTTATTTATGTTTAATTACAAAATTATGTATATATAATGTCTTAACACATTTTGTTGCTTGTTGGATATAAAATATATGTAATATTGCTATTTTCTTTACGATGATTTTTCTTTCTCTTTAGCAATTAAATTTATTAAATGTATAAATACAGGTATATTGGCATCTGTAAAAAGTTAGATATATAAAAAGTTACATTAAAAATAACTATAGTTAATGGAAATGTATTATGTATTCACAAAAGTTGATCTTTCACAAGTATATTATATTTTTTATTGCATGTTTAGCATTAAAAATAATTTTATTTGCTCATATGTGTATATAAAAAAATCATAAATGAATAAATGTAGATTTTTGTACATTACGCATTACAATATACTATTAAACATTAATTATATACACTTTATTTAATGATCTCTGGAATATTTGTGACAAGTGTTTAATAGAAATAAATATTTATTTTTGAAAATTTTATTCCTCTTTTGCGAACGTACTGTCAAGATGTTTAATAGATGTTTAATAATTGCATAATAATATACAGTTAGATTTTTATATGATGCAACTTGCGATTCAATTCTTCAAACTTCAATATTTTGCGAATAAAAAAGTCTCCATAACGATGCGCTACCTTCGTATCAGCGATGTGAATCATGTCATGATCGATGTAGAAATCCAACTGAAAGAAAAAGAAACGATTTTCGTGAATATCTTAACAATGTAATTGATAAACTAAGTATTAAAGCTCGATTGAGATAAATCAATATAATCAAATAATGTCTATTCAAGCCAACAGGATGACAATGTGAAGATTGGTTTATTTAAATTAACATAATTATAATCGCAGACGTTTCAATTCTATTTCAGATCCTTATCAATGCTTGCATGTAAAATGTTAACAGAATTCAGTCATCTAAGAATAGTGATGTAACAGTAATGTCATCCTACTTCTTGAGTATACTATACAATAAATTTATCGAATCGTGAATATTTTAATATGCATCTATTTTTATCATTTCAATAATCAACTTAAATGGTAATAATGGAGAATAAATTAAATGTAAGTTAACTGTGTTTTGATCTGTGGTAAGCAAAAATCAAATTTTTTCAAAATATAACTTATTATATATTTTATTTATAAGGAAAATGAGTCATTGAAAAAAACAAAATGTATGAGAACACTAGATATTTAGATAAGTTTTATAAATTATATTTTTGAAATACAAGTAAAATGAAAATACAAATAAAATAATTACCTCAGAACCGGATTGGAATTTTCCGTCTAATCCTGATGTGCCTTTTGTCCAAACAATATTTTTCATCTTGTGCTTGAAGCATAATAAATGAATTGTTAATGCATTGACTTCCTTGTCGAGATCCCATCCCTCAATATCGGATCTAGTATTATTTCCCATAAATGTGGCCAATTTACTTAGCGGCAATGTCGTATAGAGTTTCAAATACGAACGAATAGTCGGCAACATTTTTTGTTGGATCACTTCATCCATGAATACTTGGGTTTGATGTTTGATGGCTTCACGAACATAGTCTTCATTAGGATTATCTGGATTCGGTGGTGTAAGGGATAGAAATTTGGGACATGCAAACACAAAACAATTTTCAAATTCAGTAAGATCGCCATACTGCATCTTGTACATTTTTTCGTGGTAATTCTTATCCCGCAGAGCCTGCTGCAGGCCCTCATCTATACATTGTGGATGTAGAACCAGACATATGGCGAGCAGATGATACATTTGTTCGGTCTGCTTGTTGATCTGATCGTTCTGGTAGCTACGGGTGGCAAATAATTGCTTTGTACGTTGAATGTACAACAGAATACCAGAGAACGTTCTGATTGCATCTGCGTAACGGCGCATCATCATGTATGCAAAACCCACATAATATGCTGTCGAAATTTGACAACCAGGTACATGGGAATACGCACTTTTCTTGTAGAGCTCTACATTTTCCAAGACCTTGATGGCCTGATAATAATCACCTAATAGAGAATGCAGTCTCAGAAGACCGACGAGCGAGAAGTAGCCAAGCATCTTATACAAGGAATGCCTGCCAAAGGCACCAGCTACAGAATCTGGATCACCACCACTCGCATATACTTCCAACTGACTCTTTATCTTTGACTTGTCAACCAGATAATGCAAGACATTTAATACACACAGAACATCCCAGATTTTATTATGCGCATTTAGATTCTCGATCTCATCTGGTGTCTTATTGGACAGATTGGCACGATACTGAGCAAAAGACTGAAACTGGTAGACGAATTCATCAATAAGTTCCCACAGCCATTGATCGGGTAATTCCAGTTGTACTGGAGTGTCAGGATGCAGAATATAATTGAAAAGATCACAGTAATTGTAAAAGGAGTTAAGACGCTGCTCCAGTGTAGGACCCTGCATACGCGCATATATGTGACGATAATAAAGCTCCTTGTAGAGAGTAAGAAATACTGCATCATTGTCAACAATGTGGGCAATCGTCGAGGCGTCTGGCCATGGTGACTTATCAAATAGCTGTTCCGAGATCTTAGGGAACGAGTTCTCGTACAAGTTCTGGATCTCAAAGATCATGCCCTCGTTGATACAATTGCGCAGGAATACCAAGAAATTGCGCACCACTTCGGGCACTTGCCGGTAGCTTGGTCGATCATACTGATCGTGCACGTCTGGCGGCCCGTAGTCGTCGTAGGCGTCATACTGAAGAGAAACGTGTGTACATTAAATTAGATTAAACACGAATAAAAGCTAGAATTGAGAATACTCTGAGATTTTGACGTTGTGAAATGAAAAATAAGCAAATGTGGATGCGTACCTCGTTATAATCGTCATACATTTTTACTAGAAATAAACGTAACGAAGGAGAGAAACGTAACTTCTCCTCGACAAGTATGGGACGGCCACGAGCTAGCTATGTAGTTCACGATTATTCGGGCAGAGGGCTAGCTTTTGTCATATTGCGTTCCAAAACTTATCAAAAAATTTAATAGTTTATTTCTGGCGTTTTCGACCGAGATACATCCGATGCTGAGTTCTGATTAAAATCATTTATTCTTTATCCCTAATTGCTTATTCCTTCTATTGTGCGTAATGCCTCGCTGGTGAAATTTTTTCTCAAAATTTTTATACAAATTGGAATATTTCAGAAATACTCAAAAATATTCGGAAAGTTTATATCTTCTCTTAGAATTTTCCATATAAATAAATTCTGAAATACTTCGAAATTTCTCATCCCATAATTTTTAAAAAATATTTTCAAATTTTTTAGATTTTACAACATTTCATCAGAAATTGTACTTACAAAAAATCTTGGAAATCTTACGATATTTCATAATTAACATATATGAAAAATTTTTTGAGAAAAGATGTAGATTTTTTGAGAAATGTTCCAATTTATAAAAAAATGTTAGAAAGTTATAAAATTTATAGAAATTCTGAAAAATTATATGAAAAATTCTGAAAAAAATTTTCATCAAGGTTAAGAGATAAAGTTTTTAATATTACTTCTGATCATGATATACATATTACTTATATAGAATTAATTAATGATTACATCTACTTAAGATTTCAAAAGTGAAAGTTTGAATATGTATATGTTTTTAATGGCTGCTTTCAGCGAACTCAACAGTTGAGTAAGCGCTCGCTGCTATTGATGTATTCTTCCAGATCTAAAATACTGATTGAATAATCTAAAAGAATACACCAATAACAGCAAGCGCTCACTCAACTGTTGAGTCTGTTGAACGCAGCCAACATTAAAGCGGTTTGATAATGAAAATAAAATTTGTGACAAAATAATTGTGTTCGATTTTTTAATCGTAAGAAACATAAAAGATTAATTATAAACATTATAAAAAATATATATGTCATTAATCAAGAAAAATATAAAATATTTATTCAACATAAATTTTTAAGATATATTACACAACATTTATATATTATAAATTGTCACATCTATTATATAACAAGAAAAATACTGATAATTCAATCACATAAAATGAGCATCAATAATAACATAGAATAACTTTAAACAAATAAAATAAAAATAAAAAACACTGCAAACAATCAAGAATTGAGATCATTTGTCATTTTAAATTTAACATACATAAAAATGTGATATTACAAAATAACTATAATACCTACGAAATGATAGTTTTGTTTTAATCTCAAAAATAACTTTATCTTCAATCAGTATTTTTGTGCACAATTTTTCTGTTTGAATTTATCAGCCAATATTCCTGTTCCCATAGTCTTACTTCCAAAAGTTGATGATATGTTCTTATTTATTTTTTCTGTAGCACTCAGAGTTATCGATAATTATTTTACGTGGATTGATACAAATCGAGATTAATTTGTCCCTAACATAATAACAAGTGCTTAAAGGGAGATATTTCAAAGCAGTATGAAAATAAGACACTAAACTGTCAGAGACTTGAGAGTAATAATTTGAACTTGGCTTTTCGTATAATTTTTTTCTATCCTTTCAAGAATATCAAACACTTCTTAACTCTTATTTAAGCTCTAATATCTGAAATAGCTACAAAGGCAAATAAAGAGAATAGTGTAAACATCAAGTCGTAATTATTTTGCCATTTCAGATAACAATCTTCATATTTGATGAAATTCTTCAATATGAAAACAATTACATATCCACATTCTATAAAATATTTGTTGTACAATCTCTGACAAAGGCTCGCAATTATTTGATTTAGGGAAATCGCAATGAGTTTCTTCTTTTTCATTTAATTTAGTTAGAAGTACATTCAAAGAGGAGTCCTTCCTTGAGGAATGAAGATTCCTTGTTTCTCATTTCACGTTTCATAAACTTTCCTTGACCAAATAAGAAACCTTATTAATTTCCTTTTCTCAAGGGAAGTTATGAGTTTCCTTGAGGAGGAGGTGCAATTTTCATAACCAAGCAAACCTCCAAATTTATTTTGTCACATCAATCTTTTTACTTTTGATAGCTTTTAATTTAGATCTGTCGCATCGATAATTATTTTCGATAGCTTTTTTTTCATAAATAAACTGTGCCAAAAACATTCTCTTTCGTGTAATAAGCATCATGAATTCGACTGGAAGCTCTGATGCATATTAAAGCCATTGTACAATGATTTAATTTTAGTATAAAAATAAAATGCAAATATCTCGAATTATGAAATACATATTTTACTTAATAGCAATAAAATGTATTGAGTATTTCACGATTTAATCGATTTTTATGTTTATTTAAACATATATTTACGTTATTTTGTGTATGTACGGCGGTTTTAATGTGCGTACTTAGGGTGAAATCACACGGTGCGGAAAACGACTGCGGAATTGAGAATGTGTCATAGAAGCAACCAATCAGCGTTCTTCTGATGAATGGAAATGAACCTAAAAAATAAGAAGTATACGTTAGAGAAAAATATTTATCCCACCAACTATCATTAACGTAACATCAATATGTTAGAATTTTTCACGCAACTACGTAATCATTACATACACTCGCATTATATTGAATTTAATATATTGAATGAGAAATTATAGATAATATTGATGTTATTTTTGTTGGTGTTTACAGGAGTTTATAAAACACTTATATGCACACTTCGATACTGGCTTCACACAGTACAGCTGATTTTGAAGATTTTCAATTAGAAATTCCGACAGCATCAATCCATTTTTGTCTCAAGTTTGGATCTTGAGTAAAGTTTATGCAGCCATATCCTTCTTTATTAGAGTTGGTGCATCTGGGAGCACTGCACCTGACAGGTGCCTGACAGTGCCTGTTTTGTAATGTACAATCCTATCAAAAATGTAAAAATTTATAGTTTTATTCCATGTATATACATATAGTAAAAGAAGATATATATACTTCCAAGATTAATAATATGTATCGCTTACAAAAACCAATTGAGAAAGAAATTACAGCACAAGGTGACAGGCATACTGCTTTTGCGATCATCTACCCACTAGAGAGTCTCACAGGGAGAGAGTGGCAAATTGCATCATGTGACTCGATCTCCTCTGATTGGACCTGGTATCAAGCTCCGTAAAGCCATGGTGGTGGTATGCCGTTTAGGTTAGTAATTGCAAAAGTAGTTCGCTATTGTCACCTTGTGCTACAATTTCCTTCTCAATTGATAAGGTCTTTGTAAGTGACATATTAATAATTTTGGATGTATCTTCTTCTATTGTACATATATACATAAAGTAAAACTATGAATTTTTACATTTCAGATATCAGGATTTGTGCATATCACAAAATGCCTGCCGGATGCAGTGCTCCTAAATGCACGAACTCTAATAAAGACGGATATTGTTGCACAACATTTGCCCAAGATCCAAACTTGAGACAAAAATGGATTGATGCTGCCGGAATTCCTGACTGGAAACCTTCAAAATCAGCTTTATTGTGTGAGGTTGGTATCAAAGCATACAAATATATTTATAATGTATAACTCCCGTAAAAAGTAACAAAAATAACATCAATGTTATAATTTCTCACTCTCAATATCAATATACTAAATTAAATATAATACGAGTATGTAATGATTACGTAGTTACGTGAAAAATTCCAACATATTGATGTTATGTTAATGATAGTTAGTGGGACAGATATTTTTTTCTTTAACGTATACCTCTTATTTTTTAGGTTCATTTCCATTCATCAGAATTATTCCGCGTTGGTAGCAAAAAACTTATAAGGAAAGGTGCCATACCAAGTTTGTTTTGTAAATGTCAACAACCTATGAAAAAGAAAACTTTTGCAGAAATTCAATCAAAACAGCGATGTAATGAATCAATTGAATTTCTTCCTCATAAAAAGGCAAAATTAAGAAGTGATCATTCATATACTGCTACAGAAAATTCTGAGAAGCAAGAAAACAAAAGCTGCAAAAGAGAGCAGTATTCAAATGAATTACAAGAACATAATTATTGTTTACTTTCCAAAAAAAGAAAATCTATTACGTTTGGGTCACGTAAGAAGTATGTCCATACTGCACATTGTGTTGTAATGAAAAAACCCATTGATATAAATACATTGGACACATTCTCTGAAGACGAAAATTACAGATCAAATTCTAATCTAGACATACATATATCATCAGAATGTACTGCAAACCAAACATTGTCTACGGAGAATTTACTTAGTCCAGAAGAATATGAAATTACTGCAAACCAAATATTGTCTACAGAGAATTTATCTAGTCCAGAAGAATATGAAATACTAAAAGAAAAATTAAAAATGGCTGAAAAAGAAAGAGATATTCTAAAAAATAAAGTTAATGACTTAGAAAAAAATATAGAGGAAAATACTGAAATAATCAATACAATTCTTAATAAAGATCAACAAAGAGCAATTGTATATGGTACTACAAAAGGTTCCAAGTGGTCAGATGAAACAATCGAAAAAGGATTGAACTTGCATTTTGCATGTGGATCGCATGGTTATAATCAGATAATTAAACTTGTTGCTCCATTTCCTTCATTGAGAACTCTAAGAAATAAGATACAGCACATTAAACATACACACAGAGAACAAAAAGTATTCGTACAAGAAAATTTTTTATGAAAAGTCTTATTTGTAGAAAATAAGCATTAATTAACAATTTTATATAATGAATACATTCTATTCTAACATAAATCGAGCTTTGCATGTATTTTTTATTTTAGAAGCTAAATTTCTCTATTATATGAATACTTTTTAATCATCCAAACAATACAATTTTTAATTTTCGCTTATTTTTTAGATGATATTTTCTATAATTAATACACATCTTTTTATATATAATTTTAAGGAACATACAATCTATTTTATTCTTTATGAATAAATTGTTAATTATCCAGCACATGATCGTCGAATTGACGTTAAATTAATGCTGAAATTGTTGTATCGATATTCATTCGACATCAATTTGATGATTTATTTCTTACTGGATAATGTTTGAGTATCTACCATTTCGGAAAGAACTGATAAAAACGTTCGATATTGTGTATAAATTTTTATTGCCAAATCGGTTCAACGTGATGTGAGTTTAGCGGTAATCAACAATGTGTTATAATCTCCAATCAATCATATTTAATTATTGAAACAATTAAAATAAATAAAAAGACTAAGGGCTACTAAAACTAAGAGCTACGAGCCTAAAATAATCATCATAAATTAACAAATGTGTATTAAATAGTTAAAAAATAAAATAAAACATATCATGAATTTAAAAACATGAAATTTAATTTGATCGTCAGCAAGTAAACAACACAAACGTTTCGATCCCTGTTGGATTATTTTCATTGTGACGCAAAAATAACAATGGAAATGTTACATAGATAAAGTATATAAAAATTAATTAAAAATTCGCTCTCGGACGCAGTATCAGTTATAAATCTCGCTCCAAAATAAATTGAAAATTACAACAGTTGTAATTGACAACAATGTATTCCTCTGGATTGTGTATGTAGAATAAGGACGAACATGTTTCTGTTAGCAAATACAAAATGTAATAATAAATTACGACAGGAATAAAAATAAAAATAATAAGAAAAGTACAAATCGAGTCACAAATAATAAAAAGAAAGGTACAAAACAAGTCGCAAGTAATAAAATTAAAATTAAAAGAAAGAGGCAAAAATTATTTTTGATATTATAAGACATGTACATAAAAGTTATTAATGTCGATAGAGAAAGTGTAAAGTGCCGTCATTCATTATATATATAAAATTAAGTTTAATATTTTAGATAAGTTAAGAATAAGTTAAGAAAACAGTTAAGTTAAGAATAAATATCTTATTATGTCAAAATGATGTTATCGATTAGACAATGCGATGAGAATTGAAAATGATCATCTCTTTAGAAAGCTAAGAGACAAAGTAAAGTACACATATAAAGACAGGAAGGTTGAAATGGTAAACTAAAAAGGAAGGGGAACATAAAAAGAAGAAAATAAAGTAGAGGGAAGAGAAAGTGCGGAGAGAAGAAATGGATAGGAAAAGAAGGAGAAAGAGATTGAATGATGCAGTTAAGAAGGAAAAAGAGATTGAATGCTCTGTGAGTAGGTTTCAGGTAAAGATTCAGTATCATTTTGTCTATTAAGACCCTGTTTCTGTCTTTCAATATGAATCATATGAATCATCACAGACACCAATTTCTTATTATAAGAAGATTCACACTCTAAAATTTTCACATCCATTTAAAATTATGATCAAAATTAATTCGATGATCAGTTATGACAGTAGGAGAAATTCTTCCTAATGTCAGAGATATGTTCGTGTAATCTCGTACTCAATTTTCTTTTTGTCTGACCAACATAACTCGCCTCACAATTATCACAGGAGATATTATAAACAACATTCTGATTGGATAGGAAATCAAGCTTATCTTTTCCTCTTTTTATAAAACTTTTTAATGTATTGGGAATAGAAAAGGCTAATTTACAATGAAATATATTAGAGATAGGAAGGAAACTTTCAGAAATAGATTTAACATAAGGAATCGTAAAATATTTGTCTTTCTCACGTGAATTATATGTAATATATTTATTATGTATAGGAAACTTTAATCTACGTTCAATTGTAGAGAAAATAAAGGGAAGAGAATAACAGTTATTTAAAGAAGTATGAATAGCATCTATCAAATTTTTTTGTTGGAACCGTGGGTGTGATAATAGAATAATTTTGTTAATGAAACTGATGATGGTATCTTTTTTATGGCAAAGAGGATGATTTGAGTAGAAATTGAGGAACCTTTCGGAAAACATCTTTTTATGATAAATGTCAAATATAATTCTCTGATTATCTATAACCAACATTGTATCAAGAAAATCTTAATCTGCCATTTGTACCAATCTCCAAAGTAAACTGCAATCTCTTTATATAAAGAGTTAAAAATATTTAAAGTGTCATTGATAGTATCAGATGGAAGCGCGAGAAGAACATCGTCTACATATCTGAAATAAAACAAAGGTTGTACTGACAATTTTTTAAGTGCTATTTCTTCTAAATCTTGCATTACAATGTCGGCGATTATTGGAGATAACGATGAACCCATCGGAGTGCCGAATACCTGTTTGTAAATTCTATTATTAAAGGCAAAAAAGGTTGAATCTAAAATAAATCTAACAGCAATAATAAACGAAACAATTATTGTTATTAATTATTATTATTATATTATTAGTAAATAAAGGATTCTGATTAGTTGATTTCTTTATGCCTTATGTTTTATGCATAAATATATATTTTATGCGTTATGCATAAAAAAATGTACCAATCGAAATTCTCCGTTTTCTTCCTTTCCAAGAAATAAAGAACTCTGATTGGTTCAATTTTTTATGCCTCTGACACATCAGCGCGATGTTCGTTGCGCGCGACACGCGATATCCAATGAGTGTACAGCTTTACCGATATTCTCATTCTAAAGGTATACTGTCATTGGATATCGAGTGTCGCGCGCAATTAACATCGCGCTGGTGTGTCATTATGCGTTATGCAAGAGTCTGTACTCTCCGTTTAAGAATAAATAATGCAGCATGTGCATCATGCGTGAAACGGAACGCAGTCTAGGTTAATTGGAGTTGGTGAAACCGACCCTATTGTGCCCAGGGCCTTAAACTTTAAGGTTTAAACACAATAGGCACAGGCAACAGGGAATAACGACCCATCTAATCAGAGCTCTGGAATATAATATCAAACTTACACATCACAGTTCTGATTGGACGATTTGTTATTCTCTGTTGCCTGTGCCTATTGTGTTTAAGCCTCATGTGATTGGCGCTGTTGTCACTGTCAATTTAATTGTCACCAGTTGTCACTGAAAATTTTTATCGCCGCACGAGCTAGTGGGAGTTATTTGTTGATTCCTCATCAATAAATGTAATAAATACTGTCGTGAACGAATTTTAACATCGCGATGGGAATATTAGAAAAGATCTCAGAAATTGAGAAGGAGATTGCTCGCACGCAAAAGAACAAAGGTAAGTATTAGGCC